TTACATAGTTTCTAACCATCTATATATATTGAAAGACTTAACATTATTTATAATATTAACCTAGAAAAAAAGTTTTTGAATTAACATTGAAATTATGTATATACTAATAATTGTTACTTTTTTAGGCTAAGTTGTATCTTGATCATTTTCAAATAAACTTATTTGAGGTTTTTTAAGGGGGAGTGACACCTTTGATCTGAAAAAAATTTTATTTTATTTTGCTTAAACGATACTTTATGAGGTGTGGAATAGAAATTATATCATAAGAAGTAATTTCGAAGTTATTTTATGTGAAAAAAATCGAAATCTGTAAAAGGTGTCCAAGAGCGCTTTGAGTTCTTTTTAGCGCCATTGGCTATTTTTTCTTTTATCGTAGCAGCTCAAGAATACTGTAGACAGCTTCAAATTGCTCTAAAGGATGTAAATGAAGGAAATATTAATGTAGAAAGTCACTTATATGGTGCAGACATCGTAGATTAATGATAAATCGTCCAAACGCCCGTCCTGCCGGAAGGATGTTCCGAAAAAAAGGCTTTTAAAAAAAGGGAATTCAACTTTTCTTTTCTGTCACTCCTTTGGGATTAAAGTAGACGAAAAGACGAAAAAATCCATATTTTTGACTTTTTAAAATAATAATTTAATCCATTTTTCAAAGCCTTCAAACTTGCTATGTTTTTAAACAGTGAAAAAAACATTTTTTCGTAAATTTAATGTAAAATCCCCAAAAATCAATATTTTTTGACCGGACAAGTCTCTTTCTCTTCAGAAACGTTCAAAGAATGAAACCCAATTTTTTAATTGAAAAAAAATTCATTTTTAATATTGTTCAGTATATCTGAGTAATACTCAGGCGCGAGTCCCTTAGAAATTGCTCTATAAAATTAATATGGAAGCAGATAAATATAAAACTAAATATATCGTTGGAAAGGTAATGAAACAAGCTTTCAAATGATGTAAATATCGAGTCTTTAAATTTACGTACTCGAAAGCTAAATCTATCGCAGATTCAGAAAAACTTTAAATTTTGGTTTTTGATTAAACGGTCTAACCAGAATATTGCCCACCGATTTACCCTGCATAGAAACGAGACCAACTTCGGCGCCCTCTGTAGGCAACAAATTGAAACTTTTTTTAAGTATAAATATATTTTCGTAAACTTAAAAAGTTAATAAATAAAGTCCTCGAAACCAAATTTTGTTTACTTTATTCCTGTGTCTTAAAAAAATTCATGAAAAACAGGTTTAAAAGGCACCTCAATGGTGTCACTCCCCCTTAATACAAAAACTTCATAAAAGCACACTAACTCAAATCACTGAATTCTTATTTACTTGTTACAAAGTGGATTTTTGGTTAATATGCATTTTTTTGTTCTATAATTACCCAGAGAATCTAGGTTTTTTGGTTTTATGTGTTTTTCTTTAAAAAAAACTCATTAAAAATGATTAAACTAAACGCGAATTTCTTCATAATTAAATAAAGTATACTTACCGTTAGTATCTTTTAATGATTTTCATTCAATTCGAAGAAATTAGTAAATTTTTACACTTTTGTAAAATAACCTTTCTACTTTTTCGATTTTTAATAATTATTTTCTCGTTGCCAATGACAATAAAAATAAAAACATCTGAGTAACTTTGTAGGCAAAATATTAAACTATTATTTAAAACAATGAACCAAATTAAAATAATTTACCACACAATTTCATTGTTTAAAATTGTTGAATTATTGAAGTCGAATATATGATGATTCTTTGTAGCATGAGAACTAAGACCAGTGTCAATTCTTTTTTCTTTTATAGATTTTTCATGTTGACCGATTCTATTACAAAGAAGTTGCCTCGTTTGACCAATATAAATTTTTATTGCAATTCTTACATGGAATAGAGTAAATACAATTTGATCTTTTCTGAAGAGGAAGATAATCTTTGAAATTATGTGAAAAAATATCTCTTTTCAAAGTTCTGTCAATTAAGAAAATTAAAGTTGAATTTGTTCCTTTAAGTATGTCATACAAAATAGAATCATATCCTTGTATATTGGGAAATACAAAAAAGAAACGAGAAATATTTTGATCTCTCTCATTAAAAAAGAAAATTGGATTTGTAAGTTTATAATATCTAATACTAATTTTTTTATCTAATAATAAAGCAGGATAACCATTTTGAAGTAAAGTGGTTTTGACAAAACTTAAATTTTCAAAATGATATCGTTCATGAGATAATTTAATAGCTCTGTCTACTAATGAATAAATAACTGCAATTTTTTGAGACAAAGGATGATGAGATGCAAAATTAATATATCTGGCCGACCATGTTTTTTTGTGATACCAATTTGTGTGAAGAATATTTTTTTATTTATTTAATAACATAACGGGACATGCCCTTTCGTACATTACGTACTTCCTAATTCTAAGAGTTACATTTGTAACATATAAAAACAGATAAATTATGAAGGTTGGCGCTTCAAAAGTTTAAGTTCGGTATAGATGTAAATACCGTTGTAGTGTAATAATGAAAATAAAGTAACATAATTTTTTTTTATTGTTTATACTCCTGCCCTATTGGCCTTACGCACTTCGACAAGAGTCCCCGAGAAATACTTTTTGGATTAAGCATAACCATTCTACTTTAGAAATTTTCTATATATTAACCTAATTTTGCGTCTACAGCCGACTTTATTAGGAGTACTCACATTACGCCTGGACCACCCGTCAATGGATTTTCTCGCCAGAGAAGAGGGAAACTGTAGAAAACCTCTCTGAGTACAACCGGTTTATCGACAGTCGAGTTCTAATGGTGTGTACCGGACAATAATCGACGGTGCACATCATTTTTCCTCGACGTCAAACCTCCCGCTCAGATTGTCTCACGTGCCGGAAAAATACCAAGCCAAGCGGGCGCGAACCAAGGGTACTTATACCCTTGGTCCTTAAACGACCACCAACGCCAGGCATTTATCCGACTGAGCCAATCTGTCGGTAAAGTAACATAATTAGATAATATAATTAGATATTTTTGTTTCTCCACTGAGTTCATTAGAAAATTAGTTATTGTAGTGAATTTTACAGTTTAATAGAAGAATATCAAAATAATATTAATAAATGATAAATTTGTATCTCTATACAAATTTATCATTAAACAATTAGTAAAAATTACTAATAATATTACTATTAATATTAAATAATATTAATAAATGATGAATTTGTATCTCTATCCGAATTAATTTTAAACAATTAGTAAAAATTACATAAAAAATAAAATAAAAAATTCTGAATGAAATAAGATGTTTAGAACGTTTTAGAAACTGTAAGAATATTTAAAAATTCAATGAGTAACATAAAAAATGAGAAGGGTATTATACACATTTTTTGCTTAACAAAATGTCATTTTGAGAAATTGTGGCAGCCTATTTAAGATTTTAATATTGTTAAATTAATAAGACGTGGGTAGGACTTAAACGGGGTGACACAATCAATCAGCTGAATAACTATACACTTACAAGAATATTTCCTTCCTCCTTTTCATTGTCGAGCCAAGTATGTAGAGAGATTTAACAAACTTACTTGTATTTCCTTCTTGATCTGCACTGCAATCTGCGCTGAGTTTTGTAGATGATAATGGAAAGAGTAACAAATAATAGCGCAATTTAGAAACACACTTACAATATTTATTAAACTTTGATTTTTCAATTACAAATTGTATAAGCGCAGAGGCTATGTATCAAAACGTGGTTCACACCAATCTGAGGTGCTTCAACCGGCAAAAGCAACATGTGCTTTTGTCGTCTGCTAATTCCGGCGCGTGCGGCGCCTGGTGACAAAATTTGGCGCTAGGGCGCGAATTCAAATAAGCTCTTACTAACTAATATCAAAGTAACAATGATAATATGAGCGATTGTAACGATTGATAATACAGGAATGATTATGATCGTTACAATTCCCCCTTTCTAAATCGTTACTAGCGTTTTGAATTAGTCTAGTTTGCTAAATTTCTCCATTCTATGAAATCTTGGCTAGTAAGAAAAACAATTTAGAAGTTTAAAGTTAAAAGAAACATAAAAGAAAGTAATCAATAATTATTAATAATAATATCATTATAAAATTCAAATAAACTATAGAAAAGAAGGAAAAAGGATTTAGAATTATTTTATCACTGATGTCTCACTGCTCATCCTAATAATCAATCGTAAAATAATAGCTGGTATGATTAACTAGATAGTATTAATTTAGACTGAATTTATTATTCACTTAGTTTATTAGAGTATACTTATTTTCAATAAGTCTTAGCGATGAGGTAGACAATTATAAAGGCACTTTGACCTTCCTTTGGTAGGTTAACCTAAAATTATTCTTTGGAATTTTTCCGCGCGATACAATGTAATGTTGTTCGCTGAATACTGTTGGCGTAATAATACCTTGAATTTTAGTTAACGAAAAGAATTTAAGAAAATAGAATATAATTCTAATGCGCAACGGCGCTTGAAATCATAAATGAAATAGTCGTTGAGAAACGAAAGAAAATTTTTTTTTCGTAACTTAGATATTAAATTTAATAAGTAATAAAATAATAAAGGTTTATGCAACGGCATAAAATAATCAAAAATAAAAATAGTTTATGAGGATGGACACGCACTAAAGAGGATCACTTCTTCTCATCTTCTTCGTCTTCTTCTTGAAGAGTGTCGTCCTTATCAACGACGAGGCTATAGGCTTGAGCTAAGCTTTGCCAAAGGGTAGCGTTGGCGACGTCTGAAGCGTGTGGGGACAATTTTTGTAACGCTTCGGCACCGAGGAGCAGGGCTTCTTGAGCACAAGTATTCTGCGCCAGTCCTTCTTCTTCTTGTGGTGAGGGATTGTCATCGTTTTTGCTTGGTTCCCTAGGTAATGCGAGGTAATGCGAGGAAGTGAGTGTTTAATCTCCAATTCGATGGCAAGTTGGTTGCGCAGCGCGATGTTTTCTTGTATCATACGTTTGCGACAGTCGTAGCAGTTCGGGTCCAGCATGTTGCGCGGACGTCAGCAGCACTTGCACCGCTTGTGGTCAGGTAGTTGTTTAGGCAATTCTGAATAGTGCGGCCATGGACAGTCATCTGTCGAGAAGTCTGGGTGAGAACAAATTTGGCAGAAGAGACCCGTATATTCCTTTGCGCACGAGCGGTAGCTGTGGCCAGAGACTCCACAGTTGAGGCATCCATCTGGAGCTTTCGGGCGTAGTCTAGGTTCGCGCAGCTCGGTCATGGCGTGGAAAACCTCTTTAATGCTGGATTTGAAGAGATTGTGCAGACGGTAATACTGGTCTTCGATATGATAATAATCTGCTATTAATTCGTTGTAATCCTTCCTGTAGGATTGGGCTTCGGCCTTGAATTTGGCCTCTTGTTCGGCTGAAGATTTAGATTCCGCCTCTGCTGCAGTAAGACGATCGGACATTTTACGACGCTCTTGATTCAGTCGAATGATTTCGCGGTTTTGTTCAGCAATATCTGCATTGATGCTAGGGTCTGGGGTGTTGACCTCTTTGCGCAGTTTGGCGATTGTTTTGTCGGCCTTTTTTAGTTGAGCCAAAAAGTTATCGCGCTCGGCGACAATTTTGTTGAAAGCGGACTTGGAAAGCGCGACCAAACCCGTCGGTGATTCCTCGAATTTTAACTTGGCGTCATCTATTTGCTGACCCTCTGGCGGAGAAGCAAAGTATACAGCCATAACCTCGGATACATCGTTGGTTGTTGGTGCTTTTGCGCTGGTTGTAGACTCCATATTGTAGAATTGATATCTGAAAAGGAGGTTTACAAAATAGTACGCGATCTAAGGTTTTTTCTTGCCGGTTTTAAATCGTTTATGTGATATTTCCCTAACTTTTTGCCATGCATATTGCCGATGGAAACTATCATGGGTGACAATTTTTCTAGAACTTTTGCTGGACCTTTATAACGTGGCGCTAGTTTGGAACTATAACCACGTGCAGCGTTAGACAAGACGTTATTAAGGTTAGAATACGAAATCTCCAGGTTGAAAGTCAATATTATTCTTCCGATTTTTATTATATATCTTGCCTTGCTTTTTACTGGCCTTAGTCATAAGTTGTTCAACTTTTGCGCGAAGCGCATCTATTTGTTTTACGCGATCTAACCAAGTGTTAAGCGTCTCGTCTGTGTTTGTGTCAGTGTTTACCTCGCGCGGTGGTTCGCCTGTTCGTCTTGGTTCACGGGCAAAGTTTAGGAAAGCTGGTGTGACTCCAAGGGAAGTGTGAACGGTAGTGTTGTATGCAAACTGGATATCTTCGAGTAGAGTATCCCATTCGCGCTGGTTTTCACCGAGAAGGCTCGCTAGCATAGTTTTTAAATTACGATTCACGCGCTCAACAGGGTTAGCCTGAGGGTGATGTACAGGTGTTGTACGTTGTACTGAACCGATTTTTTGTAAAAACGATGTAATGTTGCGGTTTACAAACTCTGTACCGTTGTCAGTAATAACGATTCTAGGCGCTCCCCAGCGGTTAACAAGAGTGTTTAAACATTTTACAATTTTGGGACCGTCTGCTTTGGACAGCGCGAAGCAGTCTATGTACCGAGTGTATGTGTCTTCGCAAACTAATATGTAGCTTTTACCAGATTTCGACCGAGGTAGGGGACCTACTATATCGAATGACACTGTTTCCCAAGGTTCCGTAATTTTGCGCGGATAGATTAAGCCTTGTGGGGGTGTATTTTTTGGTTTACACTTGAGGCAAGTCTCGCATTCATTAACGTAACGCTTGATGTCTTCGCGCATACCGGGCCAATAAAAATGGTTAATTATCGAAAGATAAGTTTTATTGATGCCTTGGTGCGCGGATTGAGTAGTGCAATGATGCTCGGTAATAATCGGTAAAATTTCGTTTTCTTTGTAACGCTGCAAGAATTTGCATGATTCGAAGGATCGCGAGAAGCTCAGTAATCGGCCCAAAATTACGTTTATTCGTTTTTATTTAATGTTTTTTATTTCCATTGTAAACTTGCTCGGAGCCTTTGTACTTTGGGATCTCATCATGGAAATCGCATTACTTTCTGCCACTCGCTGTTTCTGGGACATGGATGATTGACGACAAGCTTTATTCAAAATTGCCGCCAAGGGTTACCTGTTGTATTGATGCTAACTTCATGAAAGATGGAAACGGCGTCCAATTCAAATTGACGACCACGAATTTCTAACCGGATTTGCTGCAAACTCAGTTTTGGATCGAAATAAGAAGCCTCATAAACAAATAATAGGCCAGATCATGACCTGAAGATATTGGCCACAAGATTATAATTATTGCTGGACTTTATTATTGTCGCCTGATTCGCTGCCAAGTTGCCCTGTCAGCCTACGGCCCTGCACTTTGTATTTTACTGCCTTTTAAATTTATTGATTGCCGAAGATTATTGCTCGGAATGTAAGGAGGCAGCAGGAAAATATTCCACTATCCTGATAAAGGAAATCTCTTTCTTAATCTACAATAGCATCACCGATCAACAAAGATTCCCTTGTCGCGCCACCGTCGCCACTTCCAGTTACGTCCCTGAAGGAGCAGACGACACGAAACACTCTCCTCGCCACGCCAAGCCGCCGACAACGCTTCACTCACTCTCTCGCTGCGATCCTCCGAGTAAGGTTGACAATAAGTTTGTGAATTGTGTGATTGTGATCGACGCCTGTGCTTCTGGTAAAATTGAAGGTGAGATACTTGTATATAGCCCTTCTGGCTACTCCTTGTCTATTTTTTGGCGAGTTGCGCCGCAATGTAATCTGATTTTAACGTCATGTTACTTTTGTCGAGTCAGGTTTTCTTTGTTGGGTTCTAGTCTCAGGGTTTATTTTGACTGGTGTCGCGTTTATAGTGTTTCATTAACAGAGAAATTAGTCTGGTGACCTCGTGTTTCTTGTTAATGAGATATTAATTCTTTTTTACGTTAATTCTGCCTGGTGGCATTTTTCATTACTAGTGAATTCCAATGTTTTAACCTCCGATGAGACTTCTGCCCATCAGTAACCAATTTTCGTCGTAACAATACTTTGTTTAAACAATTTTTGTATTCAATTATATTATTCTTGATCCAAGTTTGTCGAATGCCGTTGATATATGTATCTTTTCCGATTACTGAGTCTTTTGAGAGAGAGTCATAGTGAATCTGGTTACCCATAGTCTAACAATTCCCCTTTATTATTGTAAATTCCCCATTTATAAATCAATCAATTTATCTGTAACTGGTTACCTATTTTCCGTGACTATTTTGTTAAACCCCCCTTTTTTTGATTTTCTCAATTTAATAAAAACTATTAAACTAGAACAATGGTTTAATTATTGAACTCACACCTCTCCGTATTAGTATTATTTCCCGAGCTAGTCAATTCGTTGTATATTTAGATTGATTGAAAATCTCGAATTCCCTTTTTATTCTTTATTTTTTTTGAATTGGTCCAAGAAAGACCTGGCGCCCTTCCGGTAAATTTTTTATTATTATTTTTTGTAATAGAGAATTAAAGACTTTGGCTAACCAATTTGTAATTTGCCGTTAAGAATTCATTACTAAAAAATTCTCGTTACATCTTTAAGGATCTTTTTCCAGGCGTTATTATCGCCGATGGTTTCTTTAACCATATTTGGTTTATAGTAGTATAGTTGATTGTTCGAATCAACTTTGTATCTTTCGTAGCGCGAGGGATCTTTACGAACTTTTTCTAACATCTGGTCGTACCAACTTTGACTTTTAACAGAATTTAGTTCGGTAACGTGCGTATCGTTAGTATCGTCTTCGTAAAGTCGTGAGAGTGTATCCGGCGCTTCGTTGGTTGTACCTTTTCTATGTTCAATCTTGACGTTATTCGCGGATAGTTCAAGAGCCCATCGCGCGAGTCTACCTTTTGGGTCTTTGAGACCTTGCAACCAAATTAAACTAGAGTGATCCGTTATCACAGTAAATTCAGCGCATTCGAGGTAGCAGCGGAGCTTTTTAATAGCGAAGATCACTGCCAAGCATTCCTTTCCGGTGGTGGTGTAATTTAATTCAGCACCTCTTAAAGGTCTGCTTAAGCATGTGATCAAGTATTCTTTTTCTCCATCTTGCTGTGTCAAAATAGCACCGATACCGGTGTCGCTTGCATCGGTATACAAGTAGAGGGGTAAACCGGGCCTAGGCGCGACTAAAGTTAAAGCGTTTTTTAAAGATTCTTTAACTCCGTTGAACGCGGCCTCGTGTTCTTCGGTCCAGTTCCAAGGTACCTTTGGACTCGCTAATTTATTTAGTGGTCCTTGCACTTTTGCAATATTGCGCAGGTGTCGATGGTACCAGTTCACTGAGCCGTTGAACCGGCGTAATTCTTTTCGATTACGAGGAGTCGCTCGTTCGAGGATTGGTTCGACGCGCTTTGCATTTGGTTTTAAACCGTCTTTGTCGAGGATGAAACCTAAATATTCTACTGACGATTTCGCGAAATAAGATTTGTCGCGATTGATGGACAATCCCGCTTCCTGTAGAATGGTAAGGACTACATCGAGAAGCAGAATATGTTCTTCAAAAGTTTTGGATATTATTATCCAATCGTCGAGATACGCGTGAACTTGTTCGCAGTAATGTTCGGGCAGGTTTTTAGCGCGAATGTGTTCTACGAACTTTTCTTTCAGTCTATCGGTTAGAGCTTGGAAAGTTGCCGGCGCATTTGTGAGTCCGAAGGGCATTCTGACCCATTCAAACTGTCCACGACCAGGGACAACGAAGGCGGTGTATTCTCGCGATTTCGGGTCAATTGGTATGTGGTGAAACGCGTCGGTTAAGTCAATGGTGCTAATAATGTTAGCCTCAGATAGCGCATCAAGTATGGTGTCCATACGTGGCAAAGGGTATGCTGATTTCTTTGTGTTCTTATTCAACTTTCGGAAATCCATGCATACTCTAGGCCTACCATCCTTACGATAAGTGAGCACCACTGGGCTAGCAAAACGTCCGTTGCTCCTAACAATAAACTTTTTGTCTAGGTAAATGTCAATTTCATCGTTAATAATTTTGTTCGCTTCTAAGCTGCGGCGATAAGGTTTCAATTTAAATGGCGTTGGATCGGTGAGCTCTATAACGTGTGTCGTTAAATTAGTAACACCGGTTCCAGAGGTAAATTTCGATAATTTATCATCTAAAAACGCATTCAATTTATTTCTTTGTTTCGGAGATAATTTGATTAATTGAGCCGAATTTAGAAAGCTACGTGCATTGGAAATGGAGCCTAAAGGGTGACGAACCGAGGACCCTTTCATGGACCAATAACCTTGGCTTGCGTCAATAATAACTTGCCAACTAGTTATAAAGTCCAAGCCTAAAATGACTGGTGTAGTTAGACCGTCGAGAACGGCAAACCATATTTCACCGTGGCAATTATCTATTTCGATATCGAATTTAGTTTAGACTTAGTTTTATCAGTCAATACAAATAAATTGTTCGACTGATTAATCAGTGGCAACGATCTGAGTGAAGATATGCACGCGCCTATTGTGGGAGAGCAATCTTCCTCAGATTCAGAGTACTCAGTCTCAGATTCAGAATATAAGCAATCATCATAATCGCTCTCAGAATCACTAGTATCAATCCTACCTGCATGCGCTTTGTTTAGTGTTGATGCTATTTGAGGATTGTACGTTGATTCATTAGCGATAGGGATGCTTTCTGAATTTGAAGAAGTATCAATTTCGTTTAAGTAGTTTATCGGTCGATTTTCGTTTTGTTTAGATGGGGTTTTGCCAGGGAGATCTAGTCTCTCCTGGCATCTCTGTCGTTTTTTGATTGATTATCCTGCGCGTTGTGACCGTAGGTTTGTGAGTAATCGCGGTTGTAATTACCGTGCCATGGTGGCTGCGTTGGTTGCGGTGGAGGCGCGTGCGGGGGACAAGGAGGTCTTACGTTTTGCGCGCTGCACTGGCAATCTAGCTGGTAGTATTGCGGAGAGTGGGGGGAGTTATGGTAGTAGCCTTGGTTTTGATTGTAACCACGGCCACTGCCATTCCAACCATTGTTATAACCGCGTCCGCGATTATTTTGATTGTTTCCGCCTCGTTGGCCATTTCTACGACCGTTTTGGCCACGAGGATTTTCGCTTTTCTTGTGCGCAGACGATCTACGCTTTTCCCCCCCTTTCTGCGACGAAGCAGAGCTTGAGGAGTGAGAAGAAGTAGAAGTGGAACGTTTGCGCGATCTGTGAGAAGACGAAGGTTTGTTCGGACTGATCAAAGCGCTCTTAGATTTATTTGCTTTGGAATTTTCTGCATCGCTTATATTTAATTTTTGTTTAAGAGACTCGAACTGTTTTTGATAGATGTCTATTTTATTTAAGTTTTGTTCGGGCTCTGGTTTCGCTTTTTGTTTACTTTTATTCGCTTGTTTTTGTTTATTTTCTGCTTTTTTATCATTTTCGGTAGATTCGACGGAAGGGGTTTTGGATTGAGATACCTGCGAATCGATTGCATTCAATTGGTTTCTATTGCGCGGGTTACGAGACCGTTTCGCGTCTTGTTCGCGCAATTTATTTGATTGCTGCATAAATTCGATTTTTTCTTGGTATTTGCGTATCTTATCTAAAAGTTCTTCATAAGAGTTGAAGCTGTCGCGATCGAAAAGAGAAATTAATTCCGAATGCAGGCTTAGATAAATTTTATCGAGCTGAATATTTTCTGGAATTTTATTTCTCAGTTTGTTGTAGAGCGCGCCGATTTTTATGACGTAGTCTATCCCTGTTTCGTTTTCTAATTGAACCGCGCGATGTATTTTATTGAGGATTTGGTTATCGTCGTTTACATCGCTAAATGTTTTTCGGAATGATTTAGAAAATTCGGTCCATGTTGTCCATTTATGGCGAAACATGTTGAACCATGAAAACGCGGTATCTGTGAGCGTTTGGGAAAAAATCGGAAGCGCGTCGTTGGCATCGATTGCTGAAGCGGTCATTTTTCTTTCAAATTCGTCGAGAAATTCATTTGCATCTTGTTTTCCGGGAAATTTGAGGTCCCACGATTTAATGATTTTATGCAAATTTGGAACGTGAGTTCGTTGCGCAATAGATGCGTTAAGAGCCGGGTTCGAATGCATATCAATTAAATCATGATTATTTGTGTTTGAATTTAAGGGTGTTTGAAACAAATAATCTGGTTGTTCGGCGAAATGTAATGTACGGTTTGTAGAAGAGCGTTGTCGCGAAGGTGTAGCATAAGAAAGTGGTGGGCATGTTGGTGGTGCAACTGCAGTTGTACTTTGACTTACAGTCGAAGTGTTACCCGTGAATGTGACCGTTGTGGTTGTTGTAGTGGGGGGTAAACTAGTCTGTTGTGCATGTGGAATATGTTCACCACTATTATCATATGCCCAACGAGAGTCGTGCCATGGGGATGGCGCATGTCCCGTTTGCATTTGCGACATTTTATTCGTAAGGTCTTGAATTTGGGATTTCATTTCAGCGCGAAGTTTTTCTATTGAATTAGAAGTTTCTTTTCTAAGCGCGGTTATTTCGAAGTGGTTTTCTTTGTGTGCTATGCGTATTTCTTGGCTAGAATTTTCAAGATGGTTCCGTAACATGTTTTTCATTTCGTCTTTAAATTTTTTGTTCTCTTCTGCTTGGTTGTAAGCAAAAGATTCAACCTGTGTAAAAAATGATTTTAAGTGTGAAGTTGTGATTGGAGCTACCGGGTGTTTGGTTTTACGGCCGCGGCGAGAAAATAATGTTTTCGAGATTGCTCCTAATGAAGTCTGTAATTGGTCGTTTGTGTTAGTATCTTTGAAAATGTCAGTTGTGTTATCTAACAAATTTTCATTTTCTCCTGGAATATTAGCGCGAGCGGTTTCGTTTTCCTCGATATCGCTGTGAATTGGGCTAAAATTTTCTGTTGGTGTAGGAGGTCTTTGATTTTGTGGAAAAATAGTTTCTAAATTTTCTCTAGTTGCGCTCCATATTTCTTCTTGTGGAATGTGTTCGGTAATGTTGTTATTTTTTTTGTGGATTGTGTGGGGCTGCGAGTCATTTTGTCACTTCTTTTAAATGCATTCGTGTCAGAACGAGTTTGCATTTTTTGTGTGTTTGATTTTGGGCTTCTTCTTCCCATAGTTAAAAAAGAGAAAGATAAAAAAAAATTTTAAATAAAAAAAAATTTTTGTTTGTAAGTTAATTTAGTTAATTGGCTAAATCAACTTTATTTAATTCTGAGAAAGGAAGAAAAAATTCAATAATTAAAAAATTGGAATTTATTGATTGATTACTATTAAGTAATTAAGTCGTTTTACACATCAAAAAAAAAGATTTTGTTGGCGATTTAATTCAATTGAATTATTGCGCTGGAAAAAATTTTTTTTTAAAATTCAGTAGTTTGTTTAAATTCAAGGCAATTTATTGCGCTTGAATTTTGGGAATTACTGTATTCAAATTAAGTTATTTTCTTTTATTATTTTTTTTTGATTTATCCAATTATTAGTGAGAAAAAAGAATTTCTTTTCTCAATTTAATCATTGAAGAAATTTTGATTTAACAATTCAAAATTTTTTTTTAACACATTTTTATTTTACCAATTTAATTGTTAATAATTTCTATTTTGTTAATTTAATTATTAATAGAATTTTTTGTCAATTTTATTATTGGTAATTTTTATTCTCCTGCTTCAATTGTTAATTAATTTTATTTATTAATTCAGAGGAAAATAAAAGTTACATTTCGTTTTAATTTCGATAATCAAACTTTTATTAATAAAATTATTTTTTTTTTTAAATTGATTAGATTTTTCCCTTTTTCAAAATAGTTTCTCTCTTTAATAGAAAGATTATACAGAAGTCATTGAAATAAAATTAAAATTTCATTATTTCTGTAATTTCGAAGACCTGAAAGAAGCAAGGTATTTGTGCTGTGATAGTAAACACAGCTGTGTTTTCGTCGCGCTAATCAAGCTAGAAACTCGCAATTCCGTATTTTGTTGTAGCAATTTTAGCTACCGTATTGACAAAAATTTATTTAATTATTTTTTGTCACGCATGATAGTCGAGAAAATTGGCGAGAATCAATTCAAAGATATTTTATGATAAAATGCGATTATTTATATTAGCGTAGAAAAAAAATTGGCAGAAATGTAAAAGCAGTAAGCAGTTTTACAAAGCGAAGTACAAAAATAATTTAAATAATAATTATTCTATTTTGAGCGAATTACAAAAACAATTTAAATAATTATCAGATATTATTTTTATTTTTTTTTTTAAAGCGAAGTATAGTGAGATTGGTGTGATTATAAGCAAAAAATTTATAATTTTGTATTGTTCGTAGTGCAGTGCGAGATTGGTGCAGGCGAAAGCAGTGAGAGATCAGGGAAAATTGAGCATGCTTGATTTCATAGTATTTATTATAATAAATAAAATTTTATAAAGCAAAATAACTGGCAATAAATAGCAGTAAGGTACGGAAATTCGGCTGGTTATAATTTAATATGACTTTTAGCGCGAGAGAATAATTCGAAAAAGGAACTATTTTGTTTTCGAAAATGGCAGTGAACTGCTGTTCAGGCGCGGTAAAGGCATATAGTTGTGTGAGTGTCAAGAGAGAGTAGCCCTGGCGTAACGCTACTGCGGCGACGAAAGGGAGACTCTGTATGAAGACTCACACAAAGAGAAAAGAATTTCAGGTAATTTTTTTTTAAAATGCAAGTTTTTCACACAAAAAAATCACGTTGGGCGCCAAAAATGTGGCAGCCTATTTAAGATTTTAATATTGTTAAATTAATAAGACGTGGGTAGGACTTAAACGGGGTGACACAATCAATCAGCCGAATAACTATACACTTACAAGAATATTTCCTTCCTCCTTTTCATTGTCGAGCCAAGTATGTAGAGAGATTTAACAAACTTACTTGTATTTCCTTCTTGATCTGCACTGCAATCTGCGCTGAGTTTTGTAGATGATAATGGAAACAGTAACAAATAATAGCGCAATTTAGAAACACACTTACAATATTTATTAAACTTTGATTTTTCAATTACAAATTGTATAAGCGCAGAGGCTATGTATCAAAACGTGGTTCACACCAATCTGAGGTGCTTCAACCGGCAAAAGCAACATGTGCTTTTGTCGTCTGCTAATTCCGGCGCGTGCGGCGCCTGGTGACAAAATTTGGCGCTAGGGCGCGAATTCAAATAAGCTCTTACTAACTAATATCAAATTAACAATGATAATATGAGCGATTGTAACGATTGATAATACAGGAATGATTATGATCGTTACAAAATTAATCACAAAACTCTAAAGGAGTTTAACTCAAAAATTACACACACAAAAAGTTTGCTGAATACATTTAAACACTGAAGAGAATGATGACAGAAGAATATTATCCTCCACAATTAAAGAAAGATCAAGAAAATTAATGCTATTATTTACAGACAATTCATAATTCAAATTTAAATCAATATCCCTTGTATCAAAAGTATTGAAACCATCAACAATCGTATTGATTTTATTAGTTGGAACACAAATTAATATGTCGTCAACATAACGAAAATAAAATAAAACTTTAAAAGTAAAATTATTCAAAACACTGTCCTCAAAATCCTCCATAACCATGTTAGCAGTTGTTGGAAAAAGAGGAGAACCCATGGGTAAGCCAAAAATCTGTTTATAATATGCTCCATCATATGTACAATATAAAGAACATAAACCTAATTCTGATAATTTTATAAAATTTGATTTAGAAGAATTAGTATATTATTAAATTATATTCCACCTTTTTTCAACTGAAAAAATAGTCAATAGCCAATAGCCAATAGTCTCTAAAACTAGAATTTTGCAACTTATCAGAACCCTTCATGATAAGTATTACAATATACGTAAAAAATTTAATAGAGATAAAATATACCAGGAAAAACAAAAGGAGTGCACGAAATTCAGTTCTGACTGTGAAAGTAATTTATTTGATGTTTGTTTCTGCAAGTGCCAAATGCACCTTCATTGTGCTTGCGACAAACCTATAGATAAATGTATTTGTGCTCAACCAGTTGTAATTGAATGTTCTTGCTCCGCAGACAGAAAAATTCCTGTTATAGAAAGAAAATTTCTTTACGCTCAACGATATCACAGAATTGGAAAGATAGGAACAGTTGACAAAAAGGAAAGTAAGAAGCTTGAAAAGCGCTTAGAAAGAAAAAGGAGACAAGCAAAACATAAAACTGCAAAATCTTTTGAGACATCAACCAATATTGTATCGTTGGAAATTAACACAGAATTTGAAACAGAAGAGATAGATGCGGTTGACAAACAAAGTGACCCAGATTTTCAGATACATTTTGAATCATCCTCTTCATCTCAGTTGACAACAAAGCTTACCTATACTGCTCTTACACTACCGGTCAAAATTGAGAGGCCACCCATTTTCAGGCGAATGAAAATCGTTTTAAAACATAAAATTTTTTTCTGTTCATTTTTTGAAAGATGATAAAATTTTGAAAAGAACAAGATATTTCAGAAGTCTTTTGTCAAATAATTCATTTAGATATTTTTAAAAAATCGTCATTTTCAATGTTTTACAAAAATTTAAATAACTTCTAAAATAATGAACGCTTTTTAATGATCTTAGGCTCATTTTAAAGGTCATTTGCTACACCATAAGAATTATTTATAGCAATTGATGTGTAATTTTTTTCTTAGAAAATGCAGGCCGTCAAACTTCAACGAAAATTTTTTTAAAAATTTGAAACATTCTTATTAACAGAAAAACAATTTTTAAATTCAAACGTATTTTTTTATCAAATTTTTTTGAAAAATCTACACCATATAATGTTTTATATATTTTCTAAAATAGTTTTTAGTACAGAAAAATTGTTCCAAATTTTTTGAATTTTTTTGGTCCAAGTTTGACGGCCTGCATTTTCTAAGAAAAAAATTACACTTTAAGGTCTATGAGTAATTCTGATAGTGTAGCAAATGACCTTTAAAAGAAGTCTAAGATCATTAAAAGCGTTCATTATTTTAGAAGTTATTCAAATTTTTGTAAAACATTGAAAATAACGATTTTTTAAAAATATCTAAATAAAATATTGTCCAAATGACTTCTAAAAGATCTAGTTCTTTTCAAAATTTTATCATCTTTCAAAAAATAAAAATATTTTAGTTTCCATACATTTTATGTTTTAAAATGTTTTTCAATCACCTGAAAATGGGTGGTCTCTTAATTTTGACCGGTAGTGTACTAGTGACAGGTATGGTTTATCAGACAGGGCAACAGCAGCTATCGCCTCTTCTGTATTATCCGACTTTGGGATGATATCTAAAACAAACCAAAAATTCGTTATTGATAGAAATAAAATAAGACGAGAAAAATCTGTAGTTCGTTCTGACTTAAAAAATGATCAGTTAAAACGAGCAGAGCTACGTCCTAGAGGCACTTCGATGGTCGGTCAGATAATACTCTTGTGATTGAAACGAAGGACTCAAAGAGATACAAAAGGTTAAAAAAGAAGAACACATTTCGGTTCTGAACCAGGAACCAGGTTCTGTGTATCTTTTTCATGCAGTACCTTCGTCAAAATCATTAAAAGATACTGCTTCTTGTATACTTGATGAAGCTAATGCTAAAGACATTGACTTATCTGGCGATTGCATTATTGGAAGTGATGGTACGCATACAAACACTGGATGGAAAGGAGGTGCCATTCGAGTGTTAGAAGTATCCCTGAAACGACCTCTTGAGTGGTCAATTTGTCTTCTGCACTTTAATGAGCTGCCCCTCAGACACTTGGTTGAAAAACTAGATGGCAAAACTGAAGGACCAAAAAGTTTTTCTGGACCTATTGGCAAGAACCTCAAAGATTGTGAGAAGCTCTCTGTCACACAATACAATAAAATTGAGTGCGTTCTTCCCGAAATTGATGTCAACACTCTTAGTAAAGATCAGAAGTACCTTTTTGAGTTATGTAAAGCTATAAACTCTGGCACCTGACTGCTGCTAACAGATACCTTCAACTTTACATATCTACCAAGATACCTTCAAGAGAGCTTTTCCACATTGTAACTTTCATATGTAAAGTCTACGCACCATTGTGGTTTACTATCAAAGCAAATCCACTACTTGAAGATGGTCCTAAACATTTATATCAGTCAATTCAAACGTCAAGGTACTTAGCAGAAAATCTCAGGCGTGTTGTTAATTCTGTTATCCAAAATAATGGTTACTTTGCTCATCCAGAAAATTTGCTTTTTGCAATGATCATGGATTCTAGGGATAATATCAAGGAACTTGGTTGGAGACGAATTCTGAAAGCAAAACACAGACAGATAAAAACAAAACAGTCAGATACTTTAAAATACCACAAATTAATTTCAATGCTACAGATTATACTGATATGATTGACTGGAATGCAGTTAAACTTACATGTCCTCCAGTTATTCCTGATCACGGTGGTCTTCAAGCACTTTTAGGTTTACCTAAAATGAGTCAAAATTGTGCTAACGCAGTTTTTTCTGGAACCGCCCCAAGATTCCAAATTTTCATTTCCGAAAATTGTAGCTGATTCTTTTTTCGAAAAAACATATATATGGGCAATTCCACGTGAGATTTTAGTCGACATCTCTTAAAATCGGACAAAAATATTTTTTTCTATTATTTAGGGGTTATTTAGGGGTTTCGGGGTCGCTGATTGCGAATATGATGTCAAAATAAAAATATCTGTGGACAAATTCTTAATCAGCGACCGGCATGCCCAGCGACCCCGAAACCCAGCGAGTAACGAGTTTCAGACAAATTGAATCGATTTTTAAAAGTCGATCGCCATATTGGATCCAACATTTTGAGTTTTGAAAATCTGACGTCATATTCGTAATCAGCGATCCCCAAAACCCCCGAGTAACAAATTCTTAGCGAATCCAATCATTTTTTAAAATAGTTGTATTTAGGTCAATTTGTATGCAGGACAACTGTTGAAAAATCAATTTTGACAGTTAATTTTGTTTGTTGTTGGCAATATCGCTATATTTTCGTAAAGTAGAAGGTTCAAGCTTTAATTTAACTTATATGACAAGTATATTATATATATTTATAAATGTAGCACTTTAACATGTGACAGATGTGTCTAAATTCAAAAAATCAAAAAGTTTCTTGAAGAAGAGACAATTCGGAACCATAATTATCTATAAAATCTTTGTCTAAAAAATTTTTAGTAACGAAAAATCAGCAGTCTTCTGAGTCAAAGCTTCCACATTAAGATAATAAATTGTTCAAGTTTCCCACTATCTGTATAAGAGATAATTCAAAAAGAGGATCAGGTACGATTTATCGGTTTTAAAATTTGGAATCTGAAAGTCATTTGGAACAACTGCCCACCGAGTTTGTAGCGTTACATTTTAGAATAACCTGCTCACCTCTGAGGAGACCTGTAATAAGCTATCATGTATTATAGTCAGATTTTCAAAATTAGCACTTACCTTAAAGAAATTTCAGTTTTACCAAAGAGTGCAATTTTACGATTTTTAAAAATGTTTGGGAATTGTGGGCCACTGCCTAAATTCAGTTAAAAAAAACTGAACAAGTGCGAATAGAACTCGTACTAAAACCGAGGGATCCGTACCCTCGTTTAAAACTTCTACTTTTTTGCTGAAAAAAATATAAATATCAACTCCAATATTGTTCGCTTTACTTTTTCTGTAATCTACAGGTGAAAATAAATAAATAACCAATTTGATCTCTTCAGATAAAAAGCTGTAGGCGCTAGGGTGAAAAACACGCTTTTTTGACGTAATATTTAAAAACTTTGAGTTTTTCGCTGAAAAAATATGAAGATAAAATCCAATCATGTTTGGTGTGTTTTTCCTAATATCTATACATGAAAATACATACAATAAGCAAAACTGTTGTCCAATAGGCCAAGAATTGTGAAAACCAAGAAGGGGGTACACATTTTTTTTCTAAATAAAGAAAAATTTCTAGTTTTTCGCAAAAAAAATATAAAGATGAACTCCAATAATTTTTTCTGTAATCTACACGTGAAAATAAATAAAAAATGCTCAACGTGAGTACACTAGACTAAGAATTGAAAGAACTAGCATAGATATAATTACTATCAAAAATTGAAAAAAAAATTTTAGGTTTTCGCTCAAAACGCAATGAAGATCAAATCCAATCACGTTCGCTATATTTTTCCTGAAATCTACACACGAAAATGCATAAGAATAAGCAAAACTGCAGTCCTATAGGCCAAAAATTGTAAAGACAAGGGGGGATACACACTTTTTTCTAAAACGGAATTTTTTTTTAGTTTTTCGCAAGGGTTAAAATATTTTCGAGCTTGCAAAAAGA